GTACAGAGGAAGACAACGAATCTTACGTCACCCAAACGGAACCCGTAAAATAACTACATGTAGTAACTCATAACTCTACGAATAAACTAGTTACTTTAGTAACGAAAATATAATAGCCCTACCTGCTCTCTTCCGTTACTGGGGAGCTCTAATGACAACTGGTATGAAAATAAGGCTTTTCCCCATCTCGGTTATAAGGCCATTTTAGAATCCTTATCGTGTATTTTGCACCGTGATTCTTCCTTGATCACCAAAAGGAATCATTTCCTGCCACAATCGACACAAATTTATAATAATCAAACACTATTTTCATGTAGAATTGTGCGCTAGAAAAACAAACAAAATTCATTTAAATCCGGCGACCATAGTAAACTGACGCCTGCGCAGACCGGTTCATATCTGCGCTCAGCCAATATTCCAAATTTAGGAATGGAATTTTTACCGTAAACGAACATTCGTGATGTACATGTACATGTAGTTGTCATTAGAGCTCCCCAGTAACGGAAGAGAGCAGGTAGAGCTCTCATATTTTCGTTACTAAAGTAACTACGAATAAACCAACAATTTCCCTATAGTTTGGAACGCCCGTCTTGTCTGAAGGACTAAAGGCAAAACTCTACCCCGGAGATCAGGCTTACTCGAGCGGAATAATGGATTATTCCTGCGGAACTTGCTCAAGTTGCTGATCACCGAAGACAAAGTCTCCCCTTGGCATGCTTACCACAGAGTGAAATAAGTAATATTTCAGCTGAGGTTCGCACCCACCACCGTTCAACTAAGACTGACTTTGACTGTCCTTATATATGCTATGCAACTGGGAAATGCACGTGCATAACCTATGCACTCCAAGTGAATTACAATTTAGATCCCGCTCTTCCATTGGTTGATTTTATCACATATCGACCATAAGAAAGTTCCAAACCACAAGTCAACGGCATATTCACAAAATGGCGGCTATTTACGCAATTTCCACGCACAATACTGGATCATTGTTTCATCTGGAAAATATTTGACCTATTGTAATATTTCGTGACTTACTATGTTGAACCACCAAACACACAAGTAGACGAGCTGTGGTAGCGACGTGTTGATAGTTTGGTAGCTGTATAATAAGTGACTCATTTAACATCAGTTACGTCACACTAATCAAGTGACCTTTTTAAAAACCCTCATTTACAACATTCCTCCCCGTTTTGTTGGCAGTTGGTCACGGATAAGGGTACAGGAGGGAATCCTACAACACGCCAGGGAACCTCATACAGGAACCAAACATTTTGTTAAAATCTGTATGTACAGTAAAACTGAAAGCTATCTACACAGTAAAATCATTAAAACTTCTGGCGAACACTTCAGGTCAGAGTAAAAACATCCTGCAACGCCTTGCCCAAGGAATGAATTAGCTGGAACCAATTCATCAACTGTAAGCCTGTTAACTTCCAGAACATCATTGATTCTAAGTGAATAGACTCCAGGCAGGGCGAAACAACACCAGTTTCTAGATCTGGAAATGAATATCAGTGTCGCTCCAACCATAATGGAAAGTCGTTCAAGCCTTGCTTGATCAGATCACGGTCGATAACTATTTGTTGTTTTCTGGCATCCAATCGATACAATGTGAGGTTTGCAGCAATACCAAAATAAGGATCCTTCCAAGGAGGTGGCAACTTCATACGCTGTTCAGTCTTGTAGGACGAATCAATGACATACCCAACATGACCAAGCACGAACCTGATAATGTTATGCCACAAAGACCTGCAACCTGCAACTAAAGGATCGGTACTCCAAACTAACCAAGTGGCAGAGATCTCTTTTTTACATTGTTGGATGCTTATTTCTGCGGTGGTATAACCGGAGACCCGGCTACGGTCACTCATCTCTGACACAACCAGCCCTATGGGAAAGTTGGCACTCCTTCGAATCGTTCCCACCTGCTTGTGTATCCAAACTGATGTAGGGCTCCAGTCAGAATGAGATGGCATAACAATTTTAGCACCAGTTTCAGCTCCTATGAAACCTGCCTGAACATCAACTTTGGTATCAGGATCTACAGACAGCACAGAAAACGGCGCAGAACCGATTCCCTTCAATCGAACAGCTTTTCTTAGCTCTACTTTCTCCACCCCATTCAAAAAGATGTTGATATTACTGCATTAGTTTGCTGTTCGAACAAGTAGATGGGTAACACTAACCTTACCCCAGAACGTCCACTCCAAACATGACGAATCTGATTAGTATGAATTGGGCTTTCTGTTCTTAAGACTGGTTGAACACCCTCACAGCCAGTCGACTGAAGTTTAAAGGATTGATTCCGTCCCCAGCAATTGATTGCCACAGTGCGTATTGAACCGCAGTGGCACCACCTGGTGAAGCAGAGCGAAGACGAGACCAAGATGGTCTTGAGATGAATGGATATAAAGGTTAAGATATGGAGACTGGCTACAATCAGAAGAATTGCGATCATCTGAATTCTGGTACCACTGATCGGGCACTGAAGAGCTGAATCTGTAAAAGGGATGTCGTTGTGTAAGTGTATTCTGTTGAATGAACCGCGTGTCATAACGCAGCATACTCTGTTGGGTATCGAACATTGCTGGTCTATGAGCAACACCGCGAACTTTAAAGGTTGATATTATCTCCGTCTGTTGCATCGGGACAGGTTTAACTCCAGAAGCTGATAGTGATTGTGTATGGTGATCAGGATTTCTAGATGATGAAAATCGCCGTTGAGCAGCAGCATCACCTGGAGAATGCCGGGAAGTCCAAGGAAGTTTGCAGGAAGGCGAATTGTGACCAGACCTGGACTGTGGCCTGAAGGATTTACCGTCAGGGTGGTCAAACGTTTTACGTGAATCCTGAGATGGATAGGCATTAGGATTGGGGGATGGACGTTGAGGTTCAAGCCGCTTGTGTTGGGTGGACCGCGTATCATAACGCAGCATACGAGTGTTAAAAATCGCATCCTTAATCCAAGCTACATCCTTTCGCAATTGTGGAAACGGAGTCCGATCATCAGCTGATCTTTCAGTAACGCCACAAACTTCATTGGCTGGTGGTGAGTCTGGTGACTGGGCCTGAAAGGAAACGGGTTGCCCCCCAATTATCTCATTTAGACTGGACAAAGACTCCTTCGTGTATTTTTCCGAAGATGTAGACGGTTCATTATGGGAACGACTCTTAACCATACCCATGAATGGATAGTTAGAGACTGATATTGCCTTCAGTGACTTTTCCTTCCGACTACAAGAATTGTGGTGCGTGGAATTCATCTCATCGCAATGCCAAGTCTGATTATTATATGTGCTTCCAGCATGTGCATCGAAAGCATTGACCTGATCAGGTGACACAGGTCCGGAAGTAGCAGCATACCTCTCTGCACGACCTGGCTCAAAATCCGGTACTTGCTGAGAAATATCAACTTGAGTCCGGGAATTGACAGCGGAAGCAAAAGTACTAGTTATTCGTCTCAGAAATACAGCTTAAGCCATCAGCAGGGACCGACGACTGAACATCCGGAACAAAATGACCAGGTCTTTCACACCTGCTTTCTTTTGGAATGGTGGCTAAGGTGTTGGTTAGTACAGGACCTGTAGCTCCTCTCAAAATTTGTGGAGTAGGTATAACTGGAGAAACTGGAGTAGGAGTAACTGGAGTGGGCAATGCATGCAGTTGTGTAGATTCAGACAAGGGAAACTGTAAACCAACACGTTCCAATACAGAAGTCATCATTCCACAAAGCTTTTCTGTTGTTTCACGCTGTAAAGTAAATAGTGCATCATACTTCCCAGACAGTTGACCGTACAGCTTCGCTTGGCTAGCCTCAAATTGGATTAAGGTCAATGCCTGCGGTGCATCTACTGGTCTGCCATCAAAGACGGTGTCAAAGGTAACACGACCCTCATCAATCCATTTTCGCCAAATGTCAGGTTGCAACCCAGTGACCTCCGCTGCATCGGACATCGTTATGATGCCCAAAACATCCCTTTCTTCTATAATATTCGTTGCCTCAACTTTCCCAATTCTATCAAGTCTCATTAATGACTCTAAACCCGCAGTCTGTATGTCTATAGGAGCCATTCTCCCTCCTTCAATGAAACTGACAAAAGAAAATTATTTCAATAAAACAGGTTATCTTTATTTTGAATAATCACCAATTAAGGCAATAAGTCAATATTCAGAGGTTATCTTTATTTTAACTTGACTAATATAAGTCTATATTCAGAAGATAATTTTGTCAGAGATTATCTTCCATACACCAAGTAACTTTTTATGCACCAATAATAAGTGCAACAGGGACTGTAACTGATAGAACTCGAAGAACCGACTTGAAGAAGTCAGCAAAAATATTAATTTATAATTCAGATAAGAATTAAATAAGTTTTCACTCGATGTACATCAGCACAATTCGTGAAAATTAGCGGGAATAAATACACTGACTTAGATTATTTAGAAGTTGTAATTTTTGGCAGCTATGACCGCCTATAGTGTAAGTAAGCTGTCGTGAATGACAACAACTCACGTGACCACTTTTTTTCGTTTACGTGAAACAAAGAATAATACTGTAATTATCTGTAACAATGGATTTATGCTGTACTCTTTAATGTTGTTATTGAAATGTCGTTTATTTACTCTTCTCCCTTCTTTCTTCTTGTTGGACCTTCAGAAATCTCTGAAAGCTATGACCTAGTTTTCAAGCGTGAAATTTACAACACACCTGATTGACTCGACCTATTTGAAATTGCTGAATCAGCACTTTCTTCAGTCGATAAACCAATATTCAATCGTAGTCGTCGACGAGTGAATTTACGGCGACGCCAATGTAATATTTCGTGACTTACTATGTTGAACCACCAAACACACACGTAGACGAGCTGTGGTACCGACGTGTTGATAGTTTGGTAGCTGTATAATAAGTGACTCATTTAACATCAGTTACGTCACACTAATCACATGACCTTTATAAAAACCCTCATTTACAACACTATTAAATACTCCGATCTGCCGAGTGCTTTTACCCACAATCCACAAGTATGCATTCAGTATTTTTAGTTTAAAAGTATTAGCTACGATTTTGGCACTTAATTTGATTACACTTAGCCTACAGTCAGAACTTTTTTATTTTTTGAGGAGATTTTCTGACCTGTGTAAGTTAAACTTTAATATTTTACTACTGAATGAAGTGAATGTATGAAAATAGTGTGAGTTTTGTTTTTGCTGAAGTATGAATATCTAATTATAATATGTCTTTATGATAAATAAACTTATCATGGCATAAACGTTAAAACAATTTACCGTATAGACCTATCACTGTGAGAGCTAGGGGCTAGGCCTACTAGTACTAGGCCTATAATGCCTATTATTTATTATACTATACTATATGTAACGGTAGGTCTAACTTTTTTGATTTTAATACGGTTATGCCATTTTCTTTTCTATTTCATGATTCAACAATTCAACACTATTGAATAGCGAGTGGTATTAAATTTATTGACTTGCTAGTTAAGAACTAAAGAAGTTTGGTGAAGAAGGTGCTGTACTACTGTATATTACGTTCAGCTTGGCTTGAAACTTGAAAGTTTAATGCAGTACGGTACATTTCGGAATAGAAACAGGTCAGCAAGTTACATTGTACTATGGCTTTACAAAATAGTAGTAATAGTAGTAGTAGAATTGGTCTATCTTTGCCTCATAAAATTCTTCCTGTTGTAATATGTAGGAACTATGATATTAAACGGAACATTGCACATATTAAACTCTCTAAATGTGAAGACTCCAAATACATGCCTCCAATAAAAGACTTGGGTGAAATTATCAGGCTCATAATAACAACAAAGATTTTTATGTAGATTTGATATGGCAATTTCAGTTTTGAAGAAATTTAGCATTTTCGGGATTTTTTACATTGCTAAAGGAGTAAGGCAAGAATTAGAAAATGAAAACAAATACGTTTTGAATTGGCAACCCTTATTTACGCCAATAGATAATATTATCTTTGAACAGGTTGTTGAATTTAAAAAGATTCTTTCAAACCAAATATTCTTGGTAATTATCAGTTGTCAGTGACTGAATTAAAAACTTTGCTCTGTGATAGATGGCTAAGCGATTCAGTGATTGATAAATTTATTGAACTTCTTAAAGATTGTATATATCTGACTCAGATTATGTTCGTTATTTAAATTCAGTACATGATCTTCAAAATACAGGCTCAAGGCTGTATGCTAAGCATCCTAACATCACTAAGTTTGTTTTTGTTTCATGCTGGCGGTTTAGTCGCATGATGTTAGGGTGTTAAGTTTTTTACACACATGCAGATAGGGTGATATTGTTAGGGATCTCATGCTGGTTGTTCAGTCGCATGATGTTATGGTTTCTATGTTATTCTTAAATAGATAGCCTATTGTTAGGGATCTCAGGCTGGCAGTTCGGTCGCATGGTGATAGGGTGTTGGTTTCTATGTTATTCTTAAATAGATATTGTTGGGGATCTCATGCTGGCGGTTCAGTCGCATGATCTTACGGTGTTAAAGGTTTTTACACACATGCATATAGGGCAATAGGGTTATTTCCAGTATTTTTTATCTTGAGGTAAATCTTTTTATTAACAATTCTTGCCTTTGTAAATTTTCATGTCATTCAGTGGAGTGGCCAGATGGTTAATGCGTGCGCGTTGGATGGTCAGAATGTCTGTCATTGAGTCAAGTGAATGTAGGCGTGGATCCTACTTCTGACGCCATGTTAAGCTTCCTCATACTTGGTAAACTCATTAACGCTTATTAACGGATCATCTCCTAGTCTTTACAATTAGATGTTGGTTGAAGCGTGTGAAATGTATGTACACGATATGTAGACCCGTACGCACAAGCGAATGATTGCAATTGAAACTAAGTTGAACCATGTTAGTCCCAAAATGACCTAGTTTGTGTCAAATGGATTTTAAACCCCATTTCTCTCTCTGTGCCATTCAAATTGTCATTGGAGTGCATTTCTAAGTTCACATTGTGATCTATGTAAAGTTTATGTAATTTGTAATAAGTTATAATGTGTAAATCTGTTTTAAGTTGATATATGTATTTTTTTTTTATTATTATTATTATTTTCAGACTACAGGGATCGAATGCTGCTCTTCAAAATGTGTTCAAGATATAGCTGAATTGTGATATTGTAATGGTCCCAGAACAAGATCATTTACTACTTCAATATCAAAAGTAGGCCAACGTGTATATACTTGATTGGTGGTTGTTACATGTATAGGCCTCCATTCGAGGGTCTGTGTTAATATAGACTAAATTGGTAGATATTAATATTATTAGACTTTTGGCAAAGGTTAACTTGATGATGTTACAACTACAACAAGTCAAACAGCGAAGTCAACGATGTACAGTATAATATCGATGTCACAGTACCACTACCACGCTTAAGGCGAATAGAAACAAAAATTGCTTACTTTGATTGAAATGATGTCCACTCTTACTTTTAAATTGGTGTAGATATTCATTTCAACAGTTAAATCAATAAAATGTATATTGTATTTTCTCTTTATTAGTATCACATAGATCAAACGGAGTAACGCTATTTCACTCATGGCTCGTCAACTGTTATCGTTCGTAGAAATGGGGGAATACCGTTTTATATACGAACTATGATATTGTACAGAACATACCTTAAAAGGGTCAAATTGTTATTGGTCACAAAGTTCACATGACACCATTGGCAAGGCTTATAAATGTAAGACCCTCTATCTGCGCATAGAACTATTGACTCCCAGGATGGGCCTGAATGAGATGCTCCTGCAATTTTCGGATGCAGCTGAGATGATTGGCACCCATTGTTAAATTAGAAAATGTGGACAATTTATACAGTCGATTTGGTTAATAACTGCAAAATGAGTCGCTATCTCCACCTGTTTTGTCTCCCAGTCATTTGTTAGCCTGTGGGAGCCACAGTGGCTAAGATGCTGGTTTGTTAGCCTGGTGGTCGCGTGTTCGATCCCTGCCTTGGCCAAGGAAGTTCATCAGGAATTTGGGGTATGGTTTCCCCTTGTCAGTAGTCCAGGATGGAGAGCCTGACAAGGACAGCTGTCTAGTCATTCGGATTTGACGAAAAAACGAGATCCCATGTGTACATTTGATGCGCACGTAAAAGATCCATTGGCAGCCGGAATTCGATATAAGAGTAGGCAATTGTGCCGCTGCCCAGGCAACACTTACCTTATAGCACATATAGCGTATGCCCGTCTTCATTAGCCCAGTCGGAGTAGGGCGTTAAACCCCATTTCATTTCATTTGTTAGCCTGTGGATAGGGGATCCCCTAAGATGAATATACAAATTACAATTGTAGTCTGCCGGATACTCCAAAAGGGTCTGAAAATGGATTGACATAGATTGCTTTGGTATGAATGTGATTGGCAATTATTACCAGATTAACGCCCCCTTTTCCCAGTTAGTACAAGGGCGCCAGTGACATTTTCAGCCAGGGGTCCAATGGAAGCTTAATTTGGCCCTGTGGTTTCTGATTGACGGTAGATATTTGCCCTGGGCTGTCATAAGTCACAATAAGATTTTGGTTTAATAAATCGAGGATCTACATGTAATGGTATGTAGAATTTTGACACTAATGTAATAGTAGCTATGGTCTTACGCTCCTTTTGACTCAAATACGATGCAAGGCACTAAAATAGGGTGAGTTAAATCCCCTGGGTCAAAATCATGTTGACAATGAATTCCAAGCTTTACAATGTACATGTAAATCGCTTATCTACCAATATCAAAATATGTTCAGTACAGATAAATGATAAGTCGACAGATAATACATTTTTAATATTTATCCAAGGTTATTATTAGTAACATTCAATAATTTTATATCTCGTCAATTCTCCTCCTTATGGTGGCTGATAGTGGCCATGTTAAATCTCGCCCGTTTCATAACGCGACAACACGACATCACGACAGTATTGACGCAATCATACGACACTTTATTCTGTCGTATCATCGTGTTATTTTTATCATAATGTCGACTTATTGTCCTAGTCTCTTTCTACAAGTCACAAAAATACAGCTGTACTCATTACATCATATATAGGCCTAAGTAGCAGATTTGATCAATATAAAAGAGATAGTAGGAAAACGTTGATTAATTATTTGTTTTCTCAAAATAATGAAACATTTTGTGCCCACAAGTGAATTATATTTGGTATTATATTAAAAAAATCTAGAATAACAATAGCAGGACCAAAGTGAGTTAGCTAAGTTAATTCCTTGAAGAAAAAGTGGTGTCGGGAGGTATCGAACAAGTAAGCATCCATTGCCATGTGTACGACACCCACCAATATTTATAGATGACTGGAGCGATAGTTTAAAAGTGATTTCAGAAGACAGGGTGGGAAGGGGATTGTAGAAAAACCAAATCGGGCCACATTCTTTAAAATCACAGCATTATCATAGTGCAGCACGTGCAGCCTGTCATTGAGTCAACTGGCGTGGTTTCGAATCCCCGGTTGTACGTGACAAGGAGTAGGGTAACCTGTCCAACCTCGTGGGTTTTCTCCGGGTCCTCCGGTTTTCTCCCACTGCTAAAGACCCCTACGCGCAAATGATTTATTGAAATAAAATTAAACCATATGTTAGTCCCGAAATGACCTAATTTGTGTCGAGTGGACGTTAAACCCCATTTCTCTCTCTCTCTCTCTCCCGTTTGACATCACTAATGGGATTGAGGCCTAGATGAGTAAAAATAGGCCCAGTAATATCTTCAACTATGAACACACTTTAAAAGCCTCATACCCCCCCCCCCCCCACGTCACCCCAATAGATGCAGGAGTTTTTTTTATGAGGTGGAGAAAACGATTCGCAGCCGTTATTGACCTTATCGCATATAGGCTTGCATCCGTTTGACATCACTAATGGGGTTGAGGCCTAGATGAGTAAAAATAGGCCCAGTAACATCTTCAACTATGAACACACTCTAAAAGCCTCATACCCCACCCCACCCCCACGTCTCTTATTTAGTTTTACAAATAATTCCAGAATCAATAAAATGGTATCAATGATGTTTGATACAACTGGAAAATAATATGTCAAAAATTGATTAAACAACATGAGAAATATTATTACATATTGCATCCGTATCAGTGATAACGTACATTTACTCAATATGTTCCTTCCAATGGATCATCATTTAACTTGAAACAAGGGAAGCAGCGATCGAAGAAAAAGATTTAAAAACACACACATTTCAATATGACAGTAGTGATTCGGTCATGCATTTACATCCGAGGGTGTCATGCTTTCTTTGAAAGTAATGATTGTGCCAAATTTGAACAAATTCGCTGCCTATAGGTAGAGTGTTGACAGATCAAATGTAAAAAAAAAACAAAGAAAAAAACAGACCTATAAAAATATATTTCTAAAACTCTTTTAATTTTGAAATAATATTGTTTTCGCGTGTGCTAAGTGTTTCAGCGAATAGTTACAGAAAGGGTCTTGTAGATTAAGACTATGGCGCATGTGCAGTTTGAAACTTCCGAGACGACAAGTCGATGATACGACAAAACCAAACTGTCGTATCATCGACTTGTTGACTTGTCGTCTCGGAAGTTTGAAACTGCACATGCGCCATAGTCTTAATCTACAAGACCCTTTCTACAACTATTCGCTAAAACACTTATCAAACGTGAAAACAATATAATTTCAAAATTAAAAAAGGTTTAGAAAATATATTTTCATAGATCTGTTTTTTTAAGGTGTTATCTGTCAACCCTCTGGTATAACTACAGACTGCGGAACTAGATGTTCAAATTTGGAATAATCATTACTTTCAAAGAAAGGATGACATGAAATGAAATGAAATGAAATGAGATTTAACGTCCTACTGTTCTCTCCTAAGCTGGGCTAAAGACGACGGGCATACGCCATACAGTGTGCTATGAGGGAATTTTGCCCGGGCAGCGGCGCTCCGGCCCGCTCTTATATCGAAATCCAACTGCCAAGGGATCTTTTACGTGCACGCCAATGTGTACACGGGACCTCGGTGTTTCGTCCCATCCGAACGACTAGACAGCTGTCATTGTCAGGCCCTCCGTCCTGCATCACTGACAAGGGGGAACCACGCCGGTAAATCTTGATGAATTTTGTCGGCCAATGCAGGGATCGAACCAATCTGTGAAAAAAGTCTTCTAATATCTCTGTAAAAGATGACTGTTTTCAACACATGCAATCACATCATGCGGTGTCAATCATTGGACCAATGGCGCGTGCATTGTTTATATAAGACGTAACTGCTTCGAGTAGAATGATGCCTTTTACTCATTTTAATACCCATTTACGCTACATAGGAAATATTTTTTACCTACAAATACTTCAAATACAAAAAAATGTTTTAGAATTAAGTTTGTCGGAGGAATAAAGTTAATATTGGGGACTCATTAAGTCGCATCGATGTCATCCTTATCAGTGACTGTAGCGGAATAGCGAATATTCACTTCTGATCAGTGTGGGATCGATCACCCGACCTCCAGGCTAGCGAGCCAGCGTCTTGCCCACGTAGCCACGCGATCCCCTGAAAGGATGATACTCTCGGGTGTAAATACACTACTGTAAGACGGGCATACACCATACTATGAGCGAAATTTTGCCAGGACAGCGCACTATGGCCTACTATTATATCGAATTCCAACTACCAAGGGATATTTTACGTGCCACAACTGACAAGACCACGTCGGAAAATCTGGATGAACTTTCTCGTCCAATGAAGGGATCGAACACCCAGCTTTCGGGTTACCGAACCAACGTCTTACCTGCCTAGCCACTGTGACTCCCCCGCAAAATATCAAGCACCAAAAACAATGGATCGAGGCCTAGATGATTACACACTATGAAAGCCTCATACGCCCCCCCCCCCCCACGTCTCTTATTTTGTTTTACAAATAATTTCAGAATCAATAAAATGGTATCAATGATGTTTGATACGACTGGAAAATAACATGTATAACATTGATTAAACAACATAGGTAGTAATGAGAAATATTACATATTGAATCCGTATTAGTGATAACGTACATTTACTCAATATGTTCTTTCCAATAGATCATCATTTAACTTGAAACAAGGGAAACAGTCGATCGAAGAAAACAGATTTTTTTAAAAAAACAAAAACAAAACAGGTTTCAATGTGACAGTAGTGCTTCGGTCATGCATTTACCTCCGAGAGTGCCATCCTTTCTTTGAAAGTAATGATTGTGCCAAATTTGAACAAATTCCATCTAGATTCGCGGCCTGTAGGTAGAGTGTTGACAGATCAAATGTAAAAAAAAAACAAAAACAAAAACCCCAGACCTATAAAAATATATTTTCTTAAACTCTTTTAATTTTGAAATTATATTGTTTTCACAT